GTACGTCTCGGGCGCCGAAAAGTCGCGGATGCATCGTCACCACGGGACCACCCAGAATCTACCCCTGAACGTCGCGTGCCGTTTCTTAAATTTTATAATTACGAATTCGCGAGAATCGTTTCGCGACTTGATCGTTAATCTTGGCGTTAATCAGTCTTACGCTTTCCATACATATTGATTTTTATCTCGGAGCGACATTCATGAGGAGATAACGGATTCTTAGTTTTTAAGATGAAAAATAAAAAAGGAAAGAATATAAAATTTTAGAGCTTCGAGGAATTCGAGATCTTTATGAAAGAAAAGAGTCGCGTGAGTCCGCCGGACGTAACAAAAGCATACGTTCCAATTTCGCGCTTAATGATGACGTACGCTTGTGAATAATTCTTATTGGCTCTAGGGGCGTGGCCATACGCACAAGCATACCCTTGTTTTTACACCATGATAAGAGTGTAATGAAACATACGCTCGAACATATAGTGCTGCACACATTAGTATTGTACTGCTACACTAGTATTGTGTGTAGTATGTCACATATGGTGTATACAAAAAGTTCGTGCACTGAATTTTACGTCTGCCGACGTGGTGACGCTGTAAGCTTGTACAGTGGTGCAACATCTCGGGGGAAGCGTCACGTTTCCTTAGTAAAAGTTAGGTCATGGTCGAGTGAGATCTCTGCTTTTCGTGTCTGTTTTTATTAACGTACTTTTGGTCGTGTTGGCAGAATGAAGCGAGACGTTAAGAACCGAGCAAAGAACCAACATAAAATTTCTCGGCAAAAATTTGGCAAAAACGGCCAAGAAATTCTTCAAATGTTGGAAATGGTATATGGTGAGTGTCATAAAGCATAGAACTGTATAAATGGGTGGATCGGGGAAAGGGGAGAAGGGAGAGCGTCGATGACGACACACGAGCGGGGTGCCCTTCAACATCATTTTTTTTCGATATTTGTGGAGTTGTTTATCATGATATGTTCTAGAAGATATGAATCTATTAATGCAAAATTCTATGTTGAAGTCTTAAAGCGTCTGCGTGAATACGACCCGAATTGTGAGCGGAGAACGCATGGATTCTTCTGCATCAGGACAATGCACCTTCGCACACCGCGTTCATTACGCGCGAGTTTTTGGCCAAAAACAATATCACTATCATAGACCATCCTCCCTATTCACCTGATTTAGCACCTTGTGACTTCTACTTGTTTCCTGAAGTAAAAAATATCATGCGGGATGAACATTTTGTAGCTGTTGATCCCATAAAACGAGAAACGACAAAGCTCCTAAAGGAACACAAAGCAAGACATGTAGCACTGCTTTCAGGAATGGGAGAAGCGTTGGACCAAGTGTATTCTGTCAAGAGAAAAGTACCTCGAGCGTAACCACATCCCCGTTACAGCATAATTTAATTTGGATTTTTGGTGAACCGAGTGCACGAATTTTTTGTACACACCTCGTATGTATATACACACACATGCACATTTACGGAAGTACATTATAAGTGGCAGAACTAATCAGAGAAGAGAACCACTATCCGCTCCACTCTCTCTTGATTCTCTATAGTTTACACCAATATATTTAGTACAAAAAGAGATATTGCAATGGAAATAATTATTTTATGAATGATCGCGCTAGGGACATTTCAAGATAAACTTCATTTTTTTAAATGGAACATCTTACTTTTTATTCTAGCATCTAATAGCCGATATCGAGAGCTTTTCAAAATGTTATGATAAAGTTATTTTTCATTGAATACTTTTCGAGTTATAAGGCTCGAAAGTTACAATACCGCCGGCATTTTGCAAGATGTTCGGCCGACGCGACGGCTAAAATCTCTTGCATGTTGTTCAGGATCATGTCCTGGATTTGTCAAGATCAAAACCATTAAATGTTGTATCTTATTTTTATTGTACTTTTATTTTCATTTTTACGTAAAAATGAATTTTTAGTGCAAAAATGAAAATAAAAGGAATAATCTTCAATATCACGCCTTGATCTTGGCAAATGTTATTCAGGATATGAGCATGAACATTCGAGAGATTTTAATCTTTGATTGGACACCTTATGTAGTGCTAATACCTGCGATACTGTATACCTTTCGAGCCCTGTAACTCGACAAATACTCAGTGAAAAATAACTTTATTATAATGTTTTGAAAAGCTCTCGACATTGACTATTAGATTTTGGAATCAAAAGTAAAGTGTTTCATAAAAAAAATGAAGTTTACCTTGAAATGTTCCCAGCACATCCATCCATAAAATAATTATTTCCACTATGTGATGTTCCTCTTTGTACTGAATGTGTTGATAAATCATTTTTTCGTATGTCTTTAAATTTTGCTAATAATTAAATCAGTCATTTTATACAAAAATAATGATAAATCTTTCGCACAGGGGCAGAATGGACTAAAGAAGAAAGTCCTATACCATTTTGCAATTTTCACAATAGTTAACAAGATATTAATTACTAAAAATTGCCGAACATTGGTCTTTAATAAGTTTTTATTGAAATATTATCAACTTTACAGAAAAACTGCAACAGACAAAAATCATTTATTTTCTCCTCATAAAAGAATTAACTCCAAGAATTTTTTTAGAATTTTTTATCAATTTTTTAGTATTGCATTCTCTTATTTTCATCAACATGAGAAAATACAGTATTAAAAAATTCTGAAAAAATTCTCAGAACTTCATGAAAAGAAAATAAACAATTTTTGTCTCTCGCTATTTTTCTGTGAAGTTAAGAATATTAGAATAAAAAATTATTGAAGACCAATATTTAGCGATTTTTAGTAATTAATATCTCGTTAATCATTGTGAAAATTACAAAATTGTAGCAAACTTTTTGACTTAATTTAATCCGCTCTATCTACACAAAAATGCTTGGTAAAAACTTGGCAAAAAGTTTAAAAAACCACCAACGAATCTACAGAAATTAAAAGCCTTCTTTAACCACACACGCATGCACGCACGCACAGACTCATGCGCGCACGCACACGCACACGCACACACAAAAATGCATAGATAATTTTCATACGCTGTATCTCCGCAATAAAAAAAACATACAAGTCTTGACTTTTTTTTTAAATTTGCCAGAAAAAGTCCGCACTTTACGATGATTATAATAACATTTAGTTTGAGAGCGAGCATGGCAAAGCAGGCAGCGCATTGGTCTGCTATGTTAGAGATCCTGGTAGACCCAAAAATATTTTCATGCGCTTATATCTCTTCTTGGAAGTGGCAACTCATCGAGAGTATCTTCGCCAAGAACGTTTCTGTAATAAAATTTCGTCATTCGAAATTGTTAAAATGTAGGTCCAATATGACACCACAGACATATGAGGAAGTTATTACGCTCGCAACATAGCTCGCAACATAGCACGATGTAATGCAGATAACATTTATGTTGCATAAGATATCTAAAAGACATCTTTTAAAAGTCTTATGTCTAAATGATATCTAAAAGATGTCTTATGCAATATAAATGCTATCTGGGAACTTTTCCTTATTTTAGAAAAGATGGTAGGCAGAGATAAAGATGAATTTAAAATTTATGAAAATCTTAAAGTATTGACTTAATTTGCCCTTAAGAATGAAACAAAATTTTTTTAATACGTTCATTTTTTCACGGAGTTATGCTTACTTGAAGTTATGCAAAATTTTTAATATAAATTTGTGTTGCCATAATTTTATTAACGAATACACACACACACACACATTTTGTGTGTGTGTGTGTGTGCGTGCGTGCGTGCGTGCGTGCGTGCGTGCGTGCGTGCGTGTGTGTATACATATTTATATTACGTAGAAATTACAATACAGCTTTGTATGTTTTCTACTTAGAACGTATACTATTGGAAAAGGAATTGCCTATACTGGCCCGTATACCGAGGTGAAACCAACATCTGTGCGAGAGAGAAAGGTAGAGAGATCCACATGTTTGCAATGCGCATGCGTTAGTACCGTCGCTGCTGTCATCTGTGTGTACATACAGTTGTGTTAGTTAGTGTTTCTTAACACACTGTTGTTAGTTTACGAATGTACGAAGAAAGTGAAATGAAAGTGGAACGCGAACTGCGAGGGCAATGCGCATGCGCATTGCAGTCAAATAAATCTCTATACCTTTTTCTCTCGCACAAATGTTGGCTTCACGGCCTATTCCTCTTCCAATAGTATATGTTCTAAGGTTTTCTATGTTTTAAAAAAAAAATTAATACTTTAATGTATTACCTCGAAAATATTGTTTTCCATTTTTCAATAATTAGACTATTAAAAAATTTAAAAAACTTTTGAAGAAAACAATAAAAAAATATTAAATCGATGAACTTCACGACTCAAAACATTACTATCGTTCTTTCTTAAGAGAAATGAGTTATTTTTTTCTTAAGGCATATTTGGGTTAATGTCTTATGACAGCGATTATGATATAAGAACTTTACCTTTGCGGAAGCTCCCGGATTTTCTGCACCGTATATAATTATCTGTGCGTGTATTTGTATCATGAGATCGTTAATCATTATATTATATCGCGTGTCTACCATGTCGCCGATGTCCCCGTGCAGAAAGGAAGCCCGAAAGCCAAGCCCATGCAAACCAACAGAAAAGATATGCGATTAATGCAGTACTTCTCTCCAACTCGCCGAAGATACTTCAATTGCTCCGAAATCGAATTTCTCGCTTTTCCCACAAAGAAAATTAACGTTCTGTGACTGTGATCGGCGCTTTAACTTCAAAGATGTTGCACCATAAAAGGGTAGAGCGCTAGCCGAGTATTAAAAGGAAAAAAATTTGATATAACTTTACATATCATAGTGAACAAAATTATAATAGTACCAAATAATTTTTACATTTTGAAAAAAACATTAAAGAATAATCTAAGAGACATCTCAGATGCTTTTTCAGACTCTTTTCTTAATATTTAAATTTCATAGAGAGAGTATATATAATATTATTATTGCGAGAAGGCAAAAAATTAACAGTTTTAATTTACATTATAAAACATTATAAAATCTGAGAAATTAATCAATTAAATATTGTCTCAGGGTGGAGCAAAGGCAACAAGAAGAATGGCGAAAAAAGTGGCACCAGCAGCATTACAGACGGAAGTTCTTAATGACGAGGAATGGATGAAAGTATTAAAACGGAAAGGCTTAGTAGGCGAGTAATTTTTACGAATATCCTTATATATGTAGATAGTTAATATTTTTATGATTCGAGCATTATAAAAAGATATATTTGATGCAATATTAGTAGTGGACGTGTACTCGGATTGGAGTGGTCCTTGCACAGGTATGGTGAGTATTCTGAAGAAGATAAAAATGGAGATCGGAGGCGACGCATTGAGTTACGCAATGGTAATTGCCATAAAAACGATATAAAAAGAATTATATTATAAAAATAAATAAAATTGTAAATAATAAATTGTAATAATAAATAATATTGAAATAGCGGAATCCAGATATAAAATTATTATTTGTTTAAATAAAATAATGTAGAAACAATACAGTATAGAGAAATGACATTTATTTTATCCATATATAGTAATTACTTTTTATATACGAATTGATCTTTAATATTTAAATGAACCAGCTGTATGAAGATATTCTCAGCGTTTCATTCTGTTTGATCATTTTTAGGCAAGTTGTGATCATGTTACCGACTTGAAGCGGTTTCAAGGAAAAAGTGAACCTACGTGGATGTTTATTCATGTAAGTAACCAGTACGTAATTCATGTGTGCATAGAAATAATTATTGCAATTGAAAAGTCGGTTTTCTCGCAGGAAGGCCGAATGATAAATTTAATGTTCGGAGCGCATTGCCCGCAATTTGTAAAAATACTGATGACCGAGCTCGAAAGAATTCAAAAAGGTGACGAGCATGAGTAAGTTGGAACGATTGATAATACTTCTCACGTAAAAGATATATATAGTTTGTAATATCTTACTATATATTTAACTTTTATAATTTAAAATTCGCCGGTACAAACATCGCAACATTTTATTTAAGAACAGGCCTGCAGTCGAGTTTCGACCGATTTTGCCTATCGTCATCCCCACTATTTTTGTTTCATAGTTTATTTAGATCATGCGTGGAGACATTAAACGCTCGAACTCAGGGATGATATTAGCCATAACTCACACAAGGCACTATAGGGCTTTTAAACATATTGCCTCAAATTCACTATTTACAAATTTTTATTATTGTAATTATAATTATAATTATTATTATGATGTTAGAAACTCCATTTATTATGTTAAAAATGAT